CGAATTCTTCAGCCAACGTGACAGCCAACATGATCCAAGTGTTAAACCATAGCATTCCTGCTGTTGGCAATCTGCAAGTTTAGCGCAAAAACGCTGTTAGCTGTTCAAAGTTTCTTCTTTAAATTGTAGAGCGCTGTTTCGATTTTCCTTCATCAAAAACAACTTAAATTACTTTGTTCCTCTTATCTCCTTCTAGACATCCTCTTGTCTGGCTCTTCATATGGAATTTTTTAAGGAGTCAGCTTGAACAAGTTAGCTGCAGCTGTTGAAAACTAATGGTCCTAAATGTCGGAAAAAATGTCGCATTTGTATTTGCAAAGAGAAACGACTGCAGTCTGATCCAGCAGCCATTACTCTCCGATTATGCAGATAATCCACAGATGCGGTAAAACGCCGTTCCAGTAGACCGCTTATTTGCAGCTCATCTGTTCGTTGCAGGTACAATAATACCTCGAGACATTATGTGCACGGAAACGCTGACATGTACCGAGTTCCATCGTTCATGGTGGATGCAGATGCGTGATCATACGAACTCGATTATCGCATATATGCGTCGCCATAGTTTTCCATACAAGGATGTGGAGTTATCAAATGAGCAGTTATTATCATCTCAATATTCGTTGAAACTTCGTCCGATGCTGTGTAAAGAGGAACAGAGTGCCGGATTTTTACTCGATTCCAGAAGCGAATCTTGGCCGATTCGATGTTTATGGACAGGCAACGATCTGAATGCGACATGTGCACCGGCACCACCACGCAACTCATCCATCTACTACATTGCGCCAAATGTCTGGAGAAAGCAAGTGCGAGTATGTCTCTTCCACGTACTTGTTTCTGTAGTACATCTGATTGTTTGTCTTTTATCGCTGCAAAATTTTCATTCTTGTAGCAATTCTCATTAGCTAGCGTATTTTAGATTCAGTTAAAAAAACGGCAAAAATTCGAATTTTCTTCCGAACACTGCTTTTAAAAGCAAAAATTGATGGCGCTTTTAACTTCCTGGGATATGCGAGTACCAATTTACCATCGAAACGAATGGACGAATCGCAGAAAGATTAATGCACATAATGGAGCAGCAGAAAACAACAACTTGAGCACATCAGTAGTGCTATCAGTAACTGTTGCATCAGACTTGCCTGTTACTGATAAGCTTATTGTAGCAACCGGTTTGACTCTGGAAGCCTAAATGACGAAAGCGCGACAGATTACAGCATGAAAGAATAGTTTGAGAGAAGGTAGGAGCGAAATACGACGTTTCGGCCCATTAAGTCATATACGTCTTAATTCAACACCACGACAGGACCTCGTCAGTATGACAGTCGC